TCATGTTTGGTAAGGTGGAGGGTCAGAGAAAAAGAGGAAGACCCCCAATGAGTTGGATTGGCCAAGTGGCAGCATCGATGAACTCAAACGTGGAATCAGTGATAAGGTTGGCTGAGGATCGGGCAGTGTTTGGTTCTGCTGTGCATAAGATCACTATGGGTCGGTACTGACTCGATGGCACCTAACAACAACAAAAACAACATGATAAAATAATTTAATTATAAGCAGATCCTTCTGAAGATATTCATTTAACCTTGCCTTTACTTGATACGACTTTCAGGAGATAATATTGAGAAGGTGGAATTTTCTATCCTTCAAATCACTGTATTTCACCGTAATTGTAAGGCTGGGTTCCATGAATCAACTACACTGACTGTTTAATCCTAGCTAATTAACTGTCATTTTTCTTTCTCTAAAACAGAATTATTAATGGGATGGTGGATGAAGTTCACTGTTATTATAAGAAAGTACAAAACCCAGATTTTGGGGAATGATTTAACTTAATGACTTAAAGATATATTTATGTAATCTCCTTAATTGGAGCTGATTTCCACATAAGGAAAAGACTTAAAGGATAAATATTATATCTATCCATATCTTTCAATCACCTCTCTCTCCCTCTCTCTCTTTCTCTATCTATCTATCTATCTAATGGTTTGTCCTAATAAAAATATATCAGATTTATATTAGTTTAGCACCACAAGGCACAGATGGAACCAAAGGATAAAATAGAATAAAAGAAATTATGTGTTTCATACAATAAAATACATTGATGCTGAATTGGCTGTTAATTTCCTTCTGAAGTAAAGTATCACTGCAGTTTGAATATTTACCCAACAGCTGAAAATTGCATAGGATTTTTACAGAGCCACTCATACTGTGGTGGCTTGCGAGTTGCTGTGATTCTAGAAATTATTCCATGGGTATTTTTAAATACCAGCAGAGTCACCCATGGTGAGCAGGTTTCAGATGAGCTTCCAGACAAACACAGACTAGGAAGAAGAAGAGACGAACTAATTCTGAATATTTAGTCACTGAAAACCTTATGAATAGCAGAGAAAAACGGTCAGATACAGTGCC